GCTGTGATGACGTCAAATGTGCGCTTTCGTCGATCGCGCTTTTGTGGACCGCGATTTTGACGGGTCACGCCCCAAACCAGCTTTGCCAGGGCTTTTAGGCTGTGGGGTACATTGTGAAATCAAGGGGAGGGGGCATAGTGTGAATGCAGCTGGCAGGGCAAGTGTGTGGCATCGCCTGAGGACTCTTGGTCCATAAGCCACAAGGGAGATGCCACTTCCATGCTCAGTGCACCATCAGGATGGCCCTGAATGAAGCCTAGCCTTCCATAGATGTTAATCCCAGAAGAGGCAGGGTCCCCAATCTCTGGGCCACAGCCCACTACTGAGCCTTTAGCCCTTCCATAACGGGCCGCAGAAGTGGCAGGTAAGTATGTGGGCAGACGCACTCCCACTTGCGCAAGCAGTAGGCAAACTCGTGTGCGCACGCTCTATTTGCACAAGTGATGGGCGTGCATGCCCACCGCTTGTGCAAATGGAGCTGCGTGCACATGCATGCTTGCCCATCACTCACCCAGAATCATCCCCTCCCACCCCGACTGGTGCATAAAGCCAGCAATTTGGGGAACCCTTTTGTAAGGGATAGGCAGTTGCTGGGAGCAATAGCTCAGTCAGGGCATCAAAAAGCAGTCAATAAAATATAAAGCAGGAATAGATCTTGATATTGTTGCTTCTCTTTAAGTGACTTAAATATTAGCTCTTCCTATTTCATTGGATTTGCAATTTTAAAAAAATGAATTATAAAGTATTATAAAATACTTTACAAAGTACAAATACAAAGTCAATAGAAAAGCAGCGGGAGGGGAAAAGGGGGAAATTGAGGAAAGGTAAGGAAAGAAAAAGGAGCATTGACTTCCGGCTCTCTCTGCATTAACATCAAATCACAACTTTCTGTAAAAATCTGTCAGTCTAATCGGTAAAACCCAAGATTTTCATTCTTTTCCACATAAAGCACGAAGTTCAGAAACAGTCTCCTGGTGGAAACAAAAGTACTTATTTCCAAATTTAAACACATTTATTTATTTTCATTCTGTTTCTCCTCTGGGTCCTGCAGAGGCAGCAAATGGGATGGAGCCTCCAGCGCCACCTGGTGGTATGTGAATTCAGGTGGTTGTGAAAGAGGGCGGATGGGGGGGCAGGCTTCAGGTTTCAAAGGGGCATAAAGAACCCCCGAGCCCTGCCCTCCACCCAGCCTTGAACTGGCCCGGGAGGGAACTGCTCTGCCCACTCCTGGCTGCCCTGCTGAATTCCAGGTTCCCTGGCTCGATTGCTGACCCCATCAGCTGGCATCCAGCAAGTGGGGCTGCAATAGTAAAGGGGAAGAGGGGGAGTCTGATTTTTTCTCTTTTGCCCCTCATCCCTCTCAGTATCCCCCAAGTTAACATAAAGGAAAGTTCTGGACAAATGGAAAGAGCCCAGGGCAAAGGGGGTCCCTAGGAGACAGGCAGGGTTGCACCGTCGAGCAGGAAAAGGGACGAGTGGCTGGGAGCAAGGGTCTGATTTTGGAATGCAGCAACGTGGAGGAGCAAATCGGGCCAAATACACCCTGGCTGCCCTTCTCCAGTTCTGCTCTCCCACATCCCGTTTCTTGGGAGTTGCAGGTTTCTGGGGAATCACCTGCGCCCATTGGGATTAGACTGCCCCCTCGCTCCAATGGGAAGCTTTGGATGCCGTCGGACGAAGAATTTTGGCAGGCGGGGTTGATGGGAAGAGCCTTTTCTGAGGTGGCCCATGTCCTCTGTGGCATTCCCCTATCAGAGGGGAGATGCACCCCACACGGCTGGTCCTCTGGGAGAGCCCAAAGAGCTGGCTTGGCCTGGGGAGAAGATTCTCATCCCAAGGCTCTTCATTGTCTTGGTTTCTCATTTTAATTTCTAACATTTTATTCTATTTTAACTTTTTTTTGTTTTTTTACATTGTAAACTGAGTGGTGCGGTGGCCGAGAGGTGGAATTGTCACCTCACAATCAGGAGGCTGTGAGTTCAATCCAAGGTAGAAACTAATATTTTTCTCTCTGGGCAGATTGAGAATATATCAGCTGCCAACTCCACATTGGCAACAGGAAGAGCATCCGGCCAGTAAACACTCAGCTCCACTCAGTTGGCACAATTCCACCCTGCAAAGGATTACCAGGTCATTTAAAATTACATTGTAAGCTGCCCAGAGCCACTGTATTAATAAGATGGGCAGCAAAGAAATCCAATAAATAGATGGATGGATGGATGGATGGATGGATGGATGGCTGAATGGATGGATGAATGAATGAATGAATGAATGAATGAATGAATGAATGAATGAAGACAAGCAAGCAAGCAAATAAATTCAATCCAAAACAAAGTCCCGAAATCAAAAGTCGGCCTTCCTTGCTCTTCTGCTGCTTCAAGAATTGTCTCACGGGAATGATGGAAGACGACCCCCTTCCGGAATAGGAAAGAGGAAGAAATATTCTGATGGGTTGGGGGAGTAGATTCATACAGAATGGTGTGGCCTCAAATGACCCCTTCTGCTTACTCTCCCTTTTGGGAAGCATGAAGACCGGTCACTTGGCTTCACGAGGTGATCCTCCATTCATCCCCCTCCCACCAAGGATGCAGCCCCCTTCAGCTCTCTCTTCCAGTCTGAAAATTGGGGCGCCCCTCCTCCTGCAGCAGAAACACTGCTTTGAAGGTGCCTCTGCAGGGATGGGGGTTCGGAGGCTGAGCTGCCAAGCTGCCAAGGGCTCTGTGGGGGCAGCCCTCTGGCCATTGTGGCATTGGCAGCATTGCCATTTGGCAGGCAGCCTTGAGCTACATGCCCGGATGAGATGGAATGGAAGGGAACAGAACAGAAGCTAGAAGAGTCTCTGAAGGTCTTCTAATCCAGCCCCCTGATCAAGCATGAGAACCTATACTATTTCAGACAAGTGACTGTTCAGTCTCTTCTTAAAAACCTCCAGTGATGGAGCTCCCCAATTTCTGGTGGCAAACTGGTTAATTGTCCTCACTGTTAGGAAGTTTCTCCTTACTTCCATATTGCTTCGCTCTTTGATTAGTTTCCATCCATTGCTTCTTGTCCTGCCCTCAGGTGCTTTGGAGAATAATTTGACCGCCCCTCTTCTTTGCGGCAGCCCCTCAAATACTGGAATCCTGCTATCATGTCGCCCCTAATTCTTCTTTTCTTTAGACTAGCCAGACTCAAATCCTGCAGCCGTTCATTAGATGTGGCAGGCAGCTTGTGAGACCGACTGGCCTGGAACGAATTTAATCACCCCACAACCAATCTGGGGCATCTCCACCCCCTAAGCAGACCAAGAACTTCTGCTGCTGCCATTGGTGAGAAGGGGGGTGCTTTTCTGCTTCCAGACAGGCATTCTTTGGGGCAGAGATTCTTCCCTCCGTAAACCACCTTTTTAATACTTCACTAGAGCTCAGCCTGACCCGGTTCCATTTTTGAAAGCAAATCCGGGGGTGCAAATTAATTTGTTCAAAAGACGGCACATGAACTGGAACATCAAAAAAAA